CTTGATCAATCAAAAGGTTATGAATTTATTAATATTTTTAAACGAGATCCAAAAGTAACAAAACATATTATGCAATTGCATAAACTTCATTTAACAAGAAAAGAAGAAGAAGAGAAGGTAGAAATCGAAAAAGAATTGTATTATAAATCATCTTATGAATTAGATGATTTCTAGGTTCTAAAAATAATATTTAATTGGATTAAAGAAAATTTATTTACAAAAAAGAATCAGTATAAAAGTATAATGATTGTAGGGAATACTCGTTCAGGTAAAACTGCTTTGTTTAGATCTTTGAAATTACCACATATATATTATTGTAAGCTTAGAGAATCAAAACAATGGAATAATAATGTGAAATATGTGATACTTGATGATATTGATTTTTTTAAATATAACAGTGATCAAAGAAGACCAACAATGATTACGTATTGAGAAATGTTATTTTGTCAGGAAGAATTCAATTTGCGAACAGCATATTCAAAAACCATTAAAAATAAAGGTTCAAAACCTTGTGTGGTTTTGTTAAATGAATCAGGGAACCCATATCCAATCAAAGATGAAATTTTTCAAAAAGAATTACGACAAAATTGTTTGATAATTAATATAGGAAATTTCGATTTACGAAAAAAGGATGAGGATGGAAATTTAACAAATGAATCTTTGCGTTATGGTGGAAGTGTGGCTATTAGTTATATAGATAAGGATGGGGATGAAAAAGAATTGGTGTTAACTTTGAAGGATTTTGAATATAATAAAATGTTAAATTATGAAAATGGTAGTAATGGGAAATGTAGAATGAGTTATGAGGAAAATGAAAGAGAGAGTGAAAATATAAAACGTGCCAGATTTGATGAATCTGGTGGTAAATATAGTAATACTAGTACTAATAATAGTTATATAGAATTGTCTGATGAAGATTAATTTGAAATTTATTAATAAAATAAAATGCCATTTTATATTTATTTTATTTCAAAACAGAATATTAAAAATACTAGATATTTAGGAATTTTTTCTGATGAAAGTGTAGTTGATGATTGGTATAAAGCTGTATTAGAATTATCAAAAAAGAATCCTGGTAAGGTTAAATATTCTATTGAGAAGGTATCTCGGGAATGGTATACATTACCTCATTCAGATCATATTATTCATGTAACTCGAAATGCTCCTGAAAATGAATTAAAACAATTTAAAAGAAAGTGTTTTTGGTTATTAATGGATGATATAGGGGGTAGACATATACCTTTAATTAATAATTTTGGAGAAAGTGGAGGAGGTAATTTAACTGGTAATCCAAATAATCCAGGATCAAATTTAGGTACTGGAAATACACCTGGTAATCCTGGTTCAAATGTAGGTGGAGGAACTGGTAATAATCCTACTAGAGGAAGTTCGAATACTGGAGGAACCAATCCTACAGGTGAAACTGGTAATAATAATCCAACTGGTAATTCTGGATCTGGTTTAACTCAAAAACAAAAATTAGCTTTGGACGAAATATTTAAAAATCTTCAAATGCAAAAAACAGATAATGATGATCAAGATCTTAAAGAACTTAGAAAAGTTTCAAAACATCTTGCAGATTTACTTAATATGGAAAATGTTAATAAAAAATAAATTTATTGATATTATATATTTATACAATGTTTAATTTCTTAAATAGATTATCTATATTATCTATATTATCTATATTATTTTCTTTATTTAAGAAAGGATATGCTTCTTTAAAATATTGTAAAAAATTTTCTAAATTTTCGTGAAAAAATTTGTCAAGATTATCAATTTTATCAATTTTTTCAAGATAACTTTCAAAATACCAATAAATTGAATTTATTTTCAATTCTTCGTAAAAATCTTTTTTGATTAAAATATTGTTAAATCTATGATCTTTTTTTAAAAAAGTATTTTCTAATTCATTAATATCATCGATTAAACTACTTGAATATTGTAATATTTTTATTTGGTTTTTTAAATTTAGTTGTTTGATTTTTTTATAAGGAAGATCAACAAGTTCATTAATGATAAACATTCCAAAAATAGGTACTTTATATTCCGATAGTTTCTCATCAAATTTTAAAATATCTTCCTTCATCCCATTATAATAGTAATTATGTGCACAAGATTTATTATTTTTATTTTTACAAGTTGTGCATAGATTTCAAAATTTTGCTTGAATGTATAATAGGTATTCATTCCACTCACATGAGATATCGATACCGTCATCGCCAATATTATTGAATTTTCCCAATCTATAAAAATCTATATTTTTAATAGTTCCATCTTCCGTGATTTTGAGATTATCATCGTACATTATTTGTATTTTGCCAAATCAAAAAGATAATTTTTCATTTTGCTTATGTTTGGAATTGTATAATAATTTTCCACTGTTGAATTGGTAAAATGTGAATTTCTTTGGATATAATTTATTTCTTTTTAGATAAAGAAATAATTCATTTTTAAAATTTTCTCCAGAAATCGCACCAAAGTTTTCGATGTTATATTCAAATGTTAAAGTCTGCGTTTTTTCTAATTCATTCATTTTATTTTTATTGAGTATTAAAATATGTTGATGTTTTATAATTGAATTAATTAATAATTGAATTAATAATATAAATATAAATAAATCAAATTTTATTAATTGATTTGATAATGGAAACAAAAATAAAAATTTACTTGATTTTATTATTGATCATTTTATATCTTGTGAGTGATATTAAACAGAGATATATTTGTCAATGTTGTGGTGGTAATCATGCAATATCAAGTTGTGCAAGACTATGTGTTCATCCAATAGTTATTCAAGAGTTAATTTTACGTATGAGTATAGATCGAAGCAGATATTTCGGATCAAGGCCAAAAACTTATACACTAGTTATTCAAAGAAGACCAAAACAAATGCAAGCACCTGTGAGACCTAAAGGAGGAGGATTTAAACAAAATCAACAGAATATACTACAAATAAAACAAATACCAATAAAACAATTACCAATAAAACAAAGGCCAAAAATAATAAGAGAAGATCAAATAAGAGATGATCAGATAATTGGTGATCAAGCTAAACAAATTATAATTCAAC